CGAGTAGCTGGGATTACAGGCACGCACCACCGTGCCCAGCTAATTTTTTGTATTTTTAACAGAGACGGGGTTTCACCATGTTGACCAGGATGGTCTCGATATCCTGACCTCGCGATCTACCCGCCTCGGCCTCCCAAAGTGCTGGGATTACAGGCGTGAGCCACCGCGCGCGGCCCCAGGTATCCCTTTTCTACTGGTACAGCTGCTGGCATTTGCCTGTGCAAGCTTCCAGCTTGCTTATCTATGTCTGCAACTCGATTTTACAGGCTGCTTTTTGTTAGAAAAGAAATGATTTGGGGGCTGCTTTTTATTAAAAGGAAACATTACCAAGGACTCTCTTACCCTCACTATCTGCCTAGATAATTTCTTTTTTAGCTCCTGTACCACCAATGCCAGCGCCCTAAAGATCAGAGGTTTAGACACAAAGCAAGGCCAATGAATGAGAAGAACTCAGTGGGAAAGGGATTTAGAACAGCAGACCCACCTCGATGGTACTCTCAGGCAAGAGGCTGTCTCTTTCTGTTGCTGTCAGGTAAGAAATATACAGAAAGGATGTGAGACAGCGACCTCTCTCTTTATTGAGAGACTATTGGATAAGCTCAGCCTTAAAAAAAAAAGTGTGTTTTTGATTGTGGCTTTAACCTTGACCAAGTTAACTGGTTCATCATACTTGGCTCCTGTAATGCACTGTCTCTTTGAACCCACTTCCATTCAACGTTCTAGTAACATTATTACAAAGGAAGTGGTCCTAGCTCCTACACCATTCTGTAATCATGGCTATGATGGAACCATAGGGGCAGAAAGGAGGTTATTATAGTGAACCCCAGGTTTCTCTTCAAAGAATAAGTATGTCCGCATGTTCAGCTCTCCTATTCTTTAATTCTCTACTTCACAGTTTAACTTCTTTATTCTAATCAGCAGTTCACATCTGCTCCCCTGCCCCCGCCTCATCCTGACTAATCCTAGTCACCGGAAGCACCCTGGCTGCCTGCTCTGACATGTCTGTAACCGTTCTTCCAGCCAAAACACCCACCCTGACACCCCTGCTTGGACCCCTCCTCTTTGTAAAATAGCCAATTGGGATTAGTCTAGCTTGTGTGGACTAACCCTAGCCATTATGGGATGACACAGCAGTAGGGATGACCCCCATCAGGCCTAAGTACCCCTTCTCCCCTTGTCCAAGCATGTAGCTGCCATTGTTCCATCCCACCTATAAGCTGCACCCTTCTATAGAAGTAAACGGCCTTACTGAGAGGATATATCTTCAAGTTCTATGTCTTTTGCGGCATGGAAATTTTACTTATAACAAGGTGATCCCTTTCCTCCTCCTCATAATTGTCATAGATGATACTCCATAACAAAAACAGCTTAACAAGAGAAAAAGCATAACAAATGTATGTGGTCATAGTTTTATGTGACATGGGAGCCTTTGGAGTGAAGAGAACCAAAGATATAGACAAAACAGATGCTGGAGAGGATGTGGAGACATAGGAACACTTTTACACTATTGGTGGGAGTGTAAATTAGTTCAACCATTGTGGAAGACAGAGAGGCAATTCCTCAAGGACCTAGACATAGAAATTCCATTTGACCCAGCAATCCCATTACTGGGTATATATCCAAAGGATTATATATCGTTCTACCATAAGGACACATGCACACAAATGTTCACTGCAGCACTGTTTACAATAGCAAAGACCTGGAACCAACCCAAACGCCCATTAATGATAGACTGGACAGGGAAAATGTGGCACATATACACCATGGAATACTATGCAGCCATCAAAAACGATGAGTTTGTGTTCTTTTTAGGGACATGGATGAACCTGGAAACCATCATTCTCAGCAAACTAACACAACAGAAAATCAAACACCACATTTTCTCACTCATAAGTGAGTGTTGAACAATGAGAGCACATGGACACAGGGAAGGGAGCATCACACACTGAGGCCTTCATATGGAGGTGTCATTTTCTGAGCCCCAACAGCATTTACCAACCTTGTAGTGTCAGTGTACTTTTCTGTCTTTCCTACCAGAGGAAAGCATCGTAGCATCGTGAATGTCGGGGCTATGTTTCATTTATTGAAATGCCCACAAGGCCTAACACAGTATCTAGCACACAGGGAGTTTCAATATGATTTTCAGAACTCGGATACTTAGGGGAACATTTATATACAAGCCCACTTGGTTTTAACCTTGAATCTGAAGTGGTGGATCAAGATACAGGAAGATTGCAAGGTTCACGCATCAGGCAGGCCATGGCATGAAGGCTAGAAGAAGACAGATGGCGGAATCCAGGAACATTTCCTGCACGAGAGCCTGGAAAAGGGTCCTTATGCAGCCACCATGTGCAGATGTGAAAGCCACCATGTGCAGCTGATTTGTATCAGTCAACAAGCAGAGGGGTCATGGCACAAGTTTGGGTTTTATGGATGGGACACCTGTTCTCAGAGGCAAAACAGAGACAGAGCTGAAGACAACTAAACTGAGTTATTGGAAGACCATCCCTAGCAGTATTGGCGTGGCAAGCCAGTTCCCAAGATAGGAGCTCAGGCTTCAGATAACAGAATAGGAATATAGTTAAGTGGCTTGAGGTAATGGGAGAAAATGAAGGTCTGTCTTATGAAAAGGCCAGATTCCACAGGCTCTGTACAAGCCGCTCTAAGTCCAGTAGTGCCTGTTAACAGTACGTGGCTGCAGGATACTTCAGAATACCATATATGTTTTTCTACGGCTATTGGGAGAACCCAGGCCTCCTCAGTGGTATAGATAGCAGTGAGCCAAGTATTCTGAGCTCCCTTTTACTCGGTAGATCCTAATTCAATGTGTTATCAACTGATGACTGAAATTCAGGACTGGCTTCCCAAAGGATTAAGAAAGCAAGGCCAGGCATGGTGGCTCACGCCTGTAGTCCCAACACTTTGGGAGGCCAAGGTGACTGGATCACCTGAGGTCAGAGGTTTGAGATCAGCCTAGCCAACATGGTGAAACCCTGTCTCTACTACAAATACAAAAATTAGCCAGGCATGGTGGTGCGTGCCTGTATTCCCAACTACTCAGGAGGCTGAGGCATGAGAATTGCTTGAACCCAGGTGGAGGAGGTTGAAGTGAGATCATGCCCCTGGCGCTCCAGGCTGGAAGACAGAACGGGACTCCATCTCAAACAAAACAAAACAAAGAAAGCAGTGATGTGTGGGGCAAGTCCACTGACTTGGACCCATATCCTTAAAGCACTTAGTTGCTGGGTTAAGGTCCATTAAGTGAGGAGCCCTCACCGTGCCTGCCATGTCATTCCCACTGATACTTGATCTTCACTGGGGCTTTGCATTCTGCTCCAACTCACTGATATGAGGTCACTGGTAAGAAAACCAGTGCTACCTATATATTTCCTGCTTCAATACTAAACTAGTCCTAGATTCTGGAAATTAGGAGGGCATATCCAGTGGTCTGATTTTCAAAGGTTAGCGGAGTGCAGCAGTATGACAGCAAACAGATTGTGACACCTGCATCGGGATAAAATAGGTGCTTCTGACATTTTCATCATGTTTCCTTCTCCAAGGTTATGGCTTCCTGTGCTGCTGGGATTTTGTTTTCTTGTATCTTGTGTTTTTCTTTTTAGTTTTCCCTTTGGTTTGAATGTTCATTGAAAATAAACCTTTCAACATTTTCAGCTCCACAAACCTTTCTTCTTAGACGTACCTCTGGGAATAAAATGATTTATCTAAAGTTATTTGATTCTTTGGTCACAAACATTGGCAACTTCCCATCAAGTAGTTTATATGTTGCTACGTGAAACAGAAGAGTCCCGTGATACACAAATTTAGATAACTTTCAACACCTGAAATTGATTTTGTCATGACTAAAATACCCTGATTATTTTGACTGTCTTAAAAATAGGAGTGAAGCTTAGTGTACAATGCATATTTCATAAATGATGTTTGATATATTTTCTATCGTTTCTTGAAAGAAGCACAGAGACTTGGTCATAGGGTCATTCAGATGGACTGGAAGTGGGGGGGAAGGATGTGGCTTCTCCGAGGAGGTGACTCCTGAGAGCATTCAGGAAGAGGAAGATGAGAGAAGAAGGCCAGAGCCAGAGAAATCAAATCAGTTATTACGTCCAGAGGAAGAGCTCCTGACAACAGAATCTGATGTCACAAGCTGAGAAGCTGGGTTAATGGTGACCACAGCAAGAAGCAAGAAACAGACACAAGGCTGAAGCAAGAGCGTCCAGCACGCTCAGATTCCCTTTCACGGCTGAAACTTGCGCGGTGCTTGCATACCTAATTTTAAAGCCAGGGAAGCCAGTCTTCTCACATTTACAATATAAATGTGATAATAATTTTTCCTTGTGATTAGTTTTCAGGTAAGCATGAAAAGGGAGTCATGAATTAGTGTCTTTCTTTTCTCCTTCCTAGCAACATGACTTTCTCACTCTTCGTTTTACTGGATTAAGTTTTCCAAAATTAGCAAAACCAAGAAACTTCCAGTTCAGATTCCACTTATGTTTTCTTTTAATTCGGCCATTAGAGCAATTTCCAAGAAGCATAATCTGACTTAATGATATTATAATAGTGAGCAAAGTATCTGGATATTAGGCAAAAAGGGGGCTCATTGAATACACAAATGAACTTGAGACTATAGCAGGTTTTGAGTGACTTAAATGGTAGACAGAGATTTGGCTTCATTAGGCAGATACAGCATTTATGTGCTACTTAGCTCTTGCTTTTATGTGTAAGTCTGTTGAATCAACAAATATTCTGAAGAAGAGAATAAATATATTGAAATAAATTAATGACCAGCATCAAACTATGGCATTATTCAAAAGCACACGAAACTGAGGTAGATGCAACACCGATTAGGTGCCCACTGTGTGTCAGTTTGCCTCAGCATGTGTGTGAACACGTACGTCTCACGACTGAGATCACTGTCACGGTATTATCTTCACATTATGGATGAGGAAATGAAAATGGTGACACAGAGTGGTGAAGCCACTTACCTTAACAACTAGCAGGCGGCAGGAGCAGCTCAGAATTCTAGTTCCTGCGTCTCCTCCCCTCTGTGATGCTGCAGATGTGGGCTGTCCCTGCCTGGAGTCTGTCCATCTCCGGCCAAACAGACACCAACTCCAGTGCTAGGATGCAGAGCTCCAAAACGGCTTCTGGCTCTGGAAATGCTAATGAAGAACATAGAATTTGCTGAAGATTTAGAAGGCGAAGTGGACGATAGGCTTTGTTTTTTATTTTTATCTTTTCCCTCATGGCAAATTACCTTAGAACCCTCTTTGGGTGCCTTTCTTTATCCAAGGATCTGGCCACGCTGCTGACCTGATTGGGGCAAGAAACTGAGTCATGGTTTTCTCTTTCCCTTCTGAGTCCCTGCCTCATGACAGTGACAGGTGCAGCTCCCACATCCAATCCCGCTCCAGTCTCTCCCAATTTACCTTTTTCTCTTATGGGGGTTTCATTCTATGCCAACTCCTCCAAACTTGCTTGGGCCTTCAAAATGGGCCTTTAGTTACCAGAAGCTACTGTCCTCTAAGTCTGGTAATATGTTATTTTAAAGAAGAAAAGAAAGAAGGGAGGAAGGAAGAGAGGGAAGGAGAAAAGAAGGGAGGAGGGGAAGGGAACAAAGGGAAGGGAAGGGAAATGGAAAGGAAGGGAGATGGAAGAGAAGGGAAAGGGGGAGGGAAGGGAGAAGGAAGGAGGAGGAAAAGAAGGAAGGAAGGAAGAAAGGAAGGAAGGAAGGAAGGAAGGAAGGAAGGAAGGAAGGAAGGAAGGAAGGAAGAGAGAGAAAGAAGAAGAGATAGAAAGAGGGTTTTTTTCTTGATACTAATCAGTACTACTTATGCCAAATCAGACAACGTATAAAGGCCCTGAATTATTTAGTATAAATTTGGGAGTTGGGGAGGTAGTCGTAGAGGAAGCAACGCAAGGCTTATTTTCTGCATTGTCAAAGTCAATGCCATTGGAAGGGCGGGTATAACCCCCTTTTAAAAAGTGCCGAAAGAATAAATGTAACTGACACGTGAGCAGACCTCAGTGGCTCATAGGGTTCTTCCTTGATTTGCTTGGCCAAGAAGCCACTCACAAATGCAGAGCAGGATGAGACATACTTACGTTGGAGCTTAGGGTTTGCAGTGATTTTATCAGAGAAGGAAATCCCAGCATAACTAGCACATTTCTGAGAGGTGCATACAGTGGTCCTAATTCCTTAAATGATTTTTGGAGTATTCAGAAAGGCAAACAGGACATAGGAGTACACATTTCTAAACAGTCACCCTATTCAGAAATCCACTGTGTGATGGCAGGACATCAAGGTGAATTTACTTTGCCTCAACCAAAATATCAAGGGATTCTAGAGGAGGAGGCCAAGTAGCCCATGGCAGTGGCCTCATTAGCAAGCTTAGGTAGCTGCTCCTATATGACTGAATCCTGTCTCAGGATGGATATAGATTAAATATGAAATCATGTCTACAGGCCTAGGTTAAAGCCAGCACACTCAGACTAACTACATGGGATAGCAGAAGGGAGCAAAGCCAATGCTCATTGCTATACATGAAGCTGTCACAAGAAGGGAGATGGGATCTGTTGAGACATCACCTTACCTGCTATGTCAGTCAAGTCCTGCCAGGAGGCAGTGACCACAGAGTAATTTGTACAGGAAATGAAGAATTGTTAGCCGTTTAGAGGAATTACCAAATGGAAATAACAGAGGATGCCTAAGACTACCCTCCAGTCGAGAGAGAATGCCTGTTATGGACTGGATTGTGTCTTCCCAATATGCATATGTTGAAGCTCCAAACCCCTCAGTGTGACTGCATTTGGAGACAGGACCTCTATCGAGGTGAGTACATTTATTTATTTTATTTTATTTCACCATGTTGGCCAGGCTGGTCTTGAACTCCCGACATCAGGTGATCCACCCACCTTGGCCTCCCAAAGTGCTGGGATTACAGGAGTAAACCACTGTGCCCGGCCAAGGCCAGTAAGTTGAAATGAAGTCATAAAGGCGGGGCCCTAATCCAATATGACTGATATGCTATCCTTATAAGAAGAGGAGAATAGGACACAGAACACATGCGCAGCAGAAAGATCCCAGGAGAACACAGAGAGAAGGAAGCCATCTGCGAGTCAGGAAGAAAGCTATTTCTAAACATTTGGTTTACCGGCACCTGGTCATGAGCTTTTAGCCTCCAGTACTGTGAGAAAAATAAATGTATGTTATTGAAGCCACCTGGTCCGTGTGATTTTGCTATGGAAGCCCAAGACAACTAAGAGAGTTTCCATGGAAAGAACAAACAGGAAAAGCGAGGCCGCCCCCACTCCCCCCGCCATGGCTGGGAATGCCCAGAAGGAGTTTGCTGGGTTGTTCTGGGCCACAGCTGGTTCATATTTGGTGGCCAAGGCTGGTGGTGGTCAGGGAGCAGCCAGTGAAATTCACCAGGGCCACTGGGAAGGGCGAATTCCTGTTGCAATTCTTGGAAAATTGGCTGGGGCATCTGCATAACCTACTGGGAAGGAACCACAGGCATCCCATGGGAAATCGGTACAGGCATCGGTGGAATGTGTGAAGCCACTAACAATTCCACTGAAGCCAAATGCAGAGCGCTCCACAGGCAAAGAGCTAAGAGAAAGTAAAGAATGAGGAAACCAGAAGCCCCTTTCTCCTAAGTGTCTTTCCACCATCCTCCATGGCATCTTGCCACCTGTCAAGGGAGAAAGGTTCTGGTATCACCAGCAGAAAATCAAGGGTGGATGAAGAGCCAAGAAGCAATACATTGATAACAGGTACGCCTTCTGTAAATCTCACGGACAGGCCATTTCCTTAGCTACATTCAGGTAGTATGTTCCAGATTCTGGACAGACTATTTTCATCACACACATAGATGTACCTGTTTCTTCAGTGGACTGCCCTGACCCAGTGGGTGTGTCAGAAGGTAAACTCTGCCATTCCTCAAATTAAGTGGATGATCTCCAGCTCTGCCCACAGCCATACCAAAGGCTCCACACTAGATAATCCCAGAGGTGTTTATTCTGTCTCTCAAGCTTCTTAAGAATTTTCTCAGCCTTGATCTACCTTCTGCTCCACTAGAGACTTGATCCGGAAATTTATAACTGAAATCTTTTTCATAGTTTTTGAAGGCCCTAACATCATTTTATATACAGGTATGTGTGTGCACACAGGTGCACACACACACACACAGCTTTTAAATTTAGCTTCTCCTTTTCTGCTCAATAATCCAAATGACATGAGACACAAGAAAAGCTCCAGCCCAAAGCAGCTCTGCTTTGTTTTTTAATTTTAATAGTTTTGGGGGAACCAGTGCTTTTCATTACAGGGATAAGTTCTTTAGCAGTGATTTCTGAGATTTTAGTGCTCCAGTCACCCCAGCAGTGTACACCATGGTCAATATGTAGTCTATTCCCCCTCATTCCCTCCGAATGTTCCCCTGGTCTCTCTACAGTCTGTTATATCATTTTTATGCTTTTGCTTCCTCATAGCTTAGCTTCCACTTATCAAAACATATGATGTTTGGTTTTCCGTTCCTGAGTTACTTCACTTAGAACAATGAACTCCAGCTCCATCCAAGTGGCTGCTGAAGACATTATTTCATTCCTTTTTATGGCTGAGTAGTATTCCATGGCATATATATGCCATGTTTTCTTTAACCATTCATTGGCTCATGGGCACTAAGGTTAGTTCCATATTTTTTGCCATCTAAGGCGCCTCCTTAAATTTTCTTCCTTGGTGATTGTTCATGGGTACTGGTCACCAACCCATCTCAAGTTCTAGCATCGCTGAAAGTCTGTTTTGGTTGATAACCTTCAGTTTATCTACCAGGTAATATATACTGGGGGCCTCAGAATCATTCATATCTCTTCTTTGACAATATCTCTTAAGGCCATCCTTTCTTTCCAAACTTTTGACGCCTATGTCAGAAATAAAATATTCCCAGTAATCATCTTATTCATCAAAGGAAGAAATCTTGGTTCCCATGATTGTAAATGTCTCTTACCTCTGTTTGCCACCATTCATGAGATGTAAACATAATCGATGTTTTATGGTAATTATATTAATTAACATGTTGCTGATGCTACTTTTCTTTTATATTTTTATGGTTAATGTAGTCTTTGGTGGCTAAAGACAGCCAAAACAGATAGATGGAACACACTAAATCATCCAAAGTATCAATTTCCTCTTATTAGCTAACAGCTTGCAGAAACAAATAAGAGACTACGTTGTGAAGGGCATTTTGCAAGGGTGTCTTGAATCTTGTCGTGGACATTTTATGGTTAAAGATTTAATATATTTTACACTTCAAATTTCTAATTGTTTTTGTATACAAAGTTTCCCCAAATGCCTGCATTTTGCGCTAAAGGCTCAGTTTGAAACAATGTCTGTTGTTGGAACTCCTTTAAAAATGTCTGAAACATCTACTCTCATCCTCTCATCAAACAGATGTGCATACACATAGCACTGTCTCTTTGAACTGGGTTCTCCCAAGGTTTTGTTAAAACTGCATGAGGGCCATCTGAAGCCCAAATGGGGGAAAAGCCTCCTGGGAAGCTTGCTCCACGGCTGCTGAGAAAGGAACATTCACCAGGTCGCCTCTGATGAGACCAGGATATTTGCAGAGCCATTTTTTTGCAAAAGCACCTGACCCAGAAAGAACCACAGTTCATAGTAAATACTCAGCCCCCATTCTGAGAGTGTCAGCATTTCTGTTGATTTAAAAATATACTTCCTGTGAGTTCCTCCCAGAGGACCCATGACATCTAACTGGTGGCTGAAATCTACACAGTAAAGGCAACAGTAGTTGTACAATATCATCTTTTGAACTCTCAAATAAAGTAGAAGACAAGAATACTTGTTCTGTTCAAATTAATGCTCTTGCTCTGGACTATTTATTAATGCTAAGCTTTTGAGCAGTGCTCTGCTATGTGTTTTGAACCTTGTTTTCCATTAGCAGCCATAAAAATAATTACTTAGACATCAAATATTTACAATGCCTTGACCTGTCAAGCAACAGCATGAAATGTAACAAAGGCTGTGAAATCTTTTTAAAGCACTGGACAAAAGGGTTGTTTTCTACTCTTGCTGTGTGTGTGTGTGTGTGTGTGTGTGTGTGTGTGTGTGTGTGTGTGTGTGAAATATAAATGAAATGTGGTTTAT